AGAGGCGGGGTTCAGGACTGGTCTTCACCAGGGTGTGGGTGTGCACCAGGTGAGCCCGCCCTAGCCCTGACTCATCCTGTTGGCAGGTGTTTAAGGAGAGGCAGAAGGTCTCGAGTTCCAGACTGTCATTTCTCACAGTGGCCTGCAGGGTACTAAGGCGATGGGAAGGAAGAAGCTTTTTCATGGTCACAAGCACCTGTCCACCTGAGTCCCCCAAAGTCCATGCTCATGAGCACTTGGGTGAAAGGCCCACGTGCCTGTGAGCTCAACCTATGCCCCCCACCCTCACTCCACAATGGCATTAGAGATCTCAGTGAAACCGTGAGCTGTTTTGTAGCCAGGCATGGGGAGGTGACTTAATTTAAAGGAGGGAGGAAGGACAGCATTAGGAGATATACTTAATGTAAATGACGAGTTAATGGATGCAGCACACCAACATGGCACATGTATACATATGTAACAAAACTGCACGTTGTGTACATGTACCCTAGAACTTAAAGTATAATAAAAGAAAAAAATTTAAAAAAATAAAAAAAATTTAAAAAGAGCAACAGGCGCCCAGGTTCCCAGTTCGCGATCACAATTCCAAGCCAGACAATGAATAATTGTTCACGTGCAGCTGATTAACTTTCCTTAAAACAGGATGGAGCAATGTTTCCTACGCTACTTGGTTTGAGCCCAAGTCAACTGTGGACTGAGCCAGGGGTGCATTTTCAGATTATACAGGTATTTTTGAAGGCTCTCCTCTGAGACTATGACAGATGCCAGCAGGGATCAAAGAGACGGAGAGAGAAACATTCTTGAATGCTGAATGGATACTGACTCAAGGACGCTCCCATCCCCCAGACTTGTGAACTAGTGGCCACAGATGAATCTTAAGACTTTAGCAAAAGAGTTGGCCACCCTTGGGTTGGAGGCCTGGTGCCGGGTCTCTCCAACAAGTATGACTTTGCACAGCCAAGAGATGGGGTTTCCCAGGACACGTGAGCACTTCTGTCTCCACTGCCTCCTACCTCCCTCCTTGAGATCCATGGGAGCATTTCTTTTGAAGTTTAAATAACTACAAGTGGTTGCTGGCTTCCAATCCGTACCCTAACTGGGGAGGTCCATATGGCTGAGGCCGAGCCAGTTCTAGACATTCATACATAAAGGAGGAGGCTAGAAGATGAGTCTGTAGTTGAATAACCTAGAACTCACAAGGGAGATGCTGCTCCCTCAACCCACCCAAACCAGGACAGCAGACAGGCAAAATGAAAGCCCCCAGACAGAAACTCCAGATGGAGGCTGCAAAGATGATAGCTTCCAACAGATGCTTTGCATTCCCAGTGATCCCCGGAAAGCTCTGGGAGCAAATCCTTTCCATTTCCATGACGAATCTGAGCCTAGAGGCTTCCCAGCTACATAAGACCTCTCAGGTGATCTTCCTGAGCCATGACACATCCATGTCCAAGCAGCAGCAAGGACCTGTTCGGGAGTTGCATGCCTTTCAAAACACACCCATCCCAGAGGGTCGGGCGCAGACTGCCAAATCACAATGCAGAATCCATTCACAAACTCCACCCACCAAGTCCACAACCTCTTGGAGAGGCCACCCTGACATCAACCCACCCCAGCGACAGGGACCCACCCTATCCCAGAGCCTGCCTGTGGGCATCTGCACACTCTCATGTGTTTGCGCACGGGATTGTCTCTCTGCACGTCTGTGGCAACACCCACCCACCCACTCACCCACCCCCTCAACACACACACACACACACACACACACACATATCCACACACAAGCCTGCACCCAGCAATCCATCTGTCTCAGAAAGCCAGCTGTCAAAAATGAAAGTACAATCTCCTGGAAGCAAGTCGCTGCCTTCTAAAAATGTCCCGTTTTCCCAGACCGAGGAAACTTGCAGGGGTGGGGTGTGTTTCACTGCAAGTCCCCAACGACCAGGCCTGTCGTCTACCCACCCCCACCACTCCCCCAAAAGAAAGCTGCAATGCTGGAATTCCAACCTGCAGCCAGCAGCCCCGCCCCCAGGCTCCTACCCACCCACTCCCCTTCCTCCCCGGCAGTTTGCAAGGGCGCAGGAAAGGGAAGGGCCAGCCTTGGAGTCACCCCTGCATTTCAGGAGGGGACAGGCCATTGAGCACACCCCACCCCCACCTCCAAGGCACACATTTTCACATTTGGCTGTTTTTTCTTTCCCTTCTTCCCTTGCCAAAAGAATCAAGCCCTGGCTCCTGCTGCCGACCTTCCTCCCACCCTAAACTGAGCCCCATTCATTAAGCCCGCTCTCAGCCAGGGCAGGACAGGAAGGAAAACAGCACACAGGGCCTGTGAAAGAGGCTCAGAGAGGTTATTTCAAGGAGGAGGAGGGAGAAACTCCTCACTGGCGTTTTCACTGCTCCCCACCTTGCTGCCAGGCTCCCAACCCCCAACCTCAGTGTCTGCTATGCCCCTTCCCCCATCCAGCCCTGCCACATCCAGGCACTGGCCTCATCCTCAGCAAGGCAGACACACCCAGGCCACCCCCCATGGAAGGATCAACTTCGTGAAAAGGAGGAGGTTTGGGCTTTCTCCATTTACAAAACTCTCTGCCCTGGACCGGGGCCAATAGAGTTCCCTTTTGGAAGGCATTCTCGCTACAAAGAGGACAGCCCTGGGCTTTTCTCCGTGCCCATCGCCTCCCCTCCAGATGCCCCCAAGCCAGTGACATCAACCCCCAAAACACTGTACCCTCCCCACCATGGCCCATTATGAATACACTGCACCAGCTCTGAACTGAAAGAAGAAAGAGCTCAAACTTTGAAGCCTTCAGAATTAGTAAATCAAGGGAAGAAATTCAAAACAAATGCTCTTTCCATGTGGAGGGCCCCCTTTTTCCTTTCTGGAGCCTTCTGAAGTCACGCTGCCCCTTCAGGGAGTCACTGCTTCTTCCTGGCAGCTCCTTATTAATATCTGTGTCTACAATCACCTGGGGTGTGAGGGGAAGGAGTTAATGATTGTTTTACCCCCAGTTTCTTTCTAGGACTGGAAGAGCTTTGGGGAACAAAAAGCCCACCCATCGGCTGGGTGCGGTGGCTCACACCTGTAATCCCAGCACTTGGGGAGGCCGGGGTGGATGGATCACCTGAGGTCAGGAGTTTGAGACCAGCCTGGCCAACATGGTGAAACCCCGTCTCTACTAAAAATACAAAAAATTAGCCGGGCGTGGTGGTGGGTGCCTGTAATCCCAGCTACTTGGGAGGCTGAGGCAGGAGAATTGCTTGAACCTGGGAGGCGGAGGTTGCAGTGAGCCGATATCGTGCCACTGCCCTCCAGCCTGGGTGACAGAGCAAGACTCTGTCAAAAATAAAAAATAAAAAAAAAAGCCCACCCATCTCCTGAGGGCTCCACAGGTCACATGGCATGGGCGGGTGGGTGAGGAGGCGCTCAGGCTGGCATCTCAGCCTGTGTCGCCATTTCCTCCAGCAGGGGAGACAGACAAGATGTTATCAATAAGACAAACCTTCCGAAAGGACCTTTTCAAAAGCTGCCACTTCCCTTGCTTATTTCATGTGGTTTGGAGGGGCCGGGGCTCCTCCCTGCACATTCAGGGTTTAAAAAATAAAACTATCTAACAACATCCTGAGCGTGTTATTCTGCTGAGACCCTTTCCTCTCATTGGCCTTCTTTCTTTCAAGAACTCTCTTAGCCTTAGAAAGCAGAAAAGATGCAGTTCACACACTGCTGCCTTTTCTCCCTCTGTCCACTCCCACTGTCCTGCCTGAAGCCCCCTCCCTTCTCTGGGTCCCTCGTTTTCCTGCTTAATTCTCATTAGAAGCTTTGAATAAACAATACCCTCAGTCTCGGATAACAGTCAGAGTATATATTGCATTGAAATGAAAACAAACAAGGGTCTCCCTAAAGACGTTCTCAGCAAGCTCAGTTCCTGGAGAGGGGAGTCTGGGAGGGAGCCGTCCGGGAATGAACTTTGCCTCAGCCAGCCATGGAGGAAACACTTCAAGTACAGCAGGCACCCCACAAAAGAGGATGCCCCTCACACAAGAGGATACACCACAACGGGGCACAGCTTCTATTTGAGCTGCTACCACTTGATCCTACAGGCAAGGAAATGCCAAATGCCCAAAACTCTGCTAGCATTTGTTTCTAAGGTTGTTTTCCCTCTTGCTTCAGCCATTTCTTAGAAAATCTAGTGATGACATGGTGGGGATGGAAAAACAGGTAGAAATAGGATTTCTTCAGAACATGAAATGCATCCCATGTACATTGCCAGTGAGTTTCTCTAAGTACTGTCCTCTTTTCACATCCTCAGGAACAACAATGCTATGGCTACCCAGTGCCTCTCAGCCAGCCCCGTGACTCCCCAGCACTGGCATTCCAGGCCTTCACGCACACCTGTGTGCCCTGAGGAAAACCTGCCCCGCTAGGGAACCATTATAGCTCCTACTGTAGGCAGTGCTCCCACCCTGGTGCTCCCAGGCCCGGACATGTGCTGCAAAATCCTGCAGCAAGCTGGGCTGGGAATCAGAACTTGGGAGGGAGGCCTCAGATCTGCTCTGAAATCCCATCGTACGCTTGGGATCTGTCTTCAACAAGTTCCTTAAAGGTGGGTCCATTCCCTTTACATCCCCCATGCACAAAGAGCAAAAGCAAAAAAAGAGCTCAAATGCATGAGTTAATGACACCAAAGTCACCAAGCTGAAGCCCCTCAAGCCAGGAGCTGCTTAAAAATAACCGGGAAACACTTCACACACCAAAGCAGTCCCCAGCTAGCTCCTGTCTCCCCGTGCACGGAACACACCCAGTGTCCACAGCGTAAAGGACTGCAGGGTGAGCAGCTGAAAGGTACCACAATGTCACCACCGATGCATCCAGCTTAAGGCATATAAAAATGAGAATGAAGTCCAGACCAGCTGGGGTGGCAGAAGGCTGCCCCCATTCCTCCAGTCTCCAGCAATTTCAAGAAACCCTGGAACTGCCAAGAAAATAAGAGAAAGCATCTTACCTGAAAGCCCCCCAGGGGCCAGATAATTCGTTCCCCCTGTTTCAGCGGAGGAAGGCACAGCATCTGGACAGTCTGCTGTGGATTTGAAAAGGGGAGAGAAAGAAATAAATACACAAATAAAAACACCAAGATCCATCTTTAAGCACGCTCTAAACAGCATGAAAGACAAACCACACATTCCAAAAGGCTGACTCGTGGCCTTGATGCTGATTATTAATGGTCTGCTCAGGCTTCGCTGCCCATCGTAAGACAGACCACAGCACCTTGTCACCCGTCTGGGCTCCGGGCGGCCAGTTAATCATTACTCAAGTCAGGCTCAATCAGACTGGCTGGAATTTCTCTTGCATTACCAGTCCCCCATTAAGGATACTAGGTGGTTCCAAGGTCAAAGGAGGTTTGGGTTGGACTTTCTTAACCCTGGTTGCTCTGTCATCCCTCATCAAGGGCAGAAGCCTCCCTCCTTGGAGCCCATGTCCTCTCTGCCTTCATCCTTTTAAAAGACAGGTTTCCCAGTTCTTGAGAACATTCTCAAGATTGGTATTGGGCTGTAAGGACTTCTTTCCCCTTTTTTAATTGAGGAGTAACTTAAGTAGAGCAAAGTATACAAAATCCCGAGTAGACGCGATGAATATTACTCATGTATACACCTGTGTAACCACCACCAGATCAAGACAGAGAACATTCTCAGCAAGGCTCCGAGCCGGAGGGGAAATGTTCTACCTCTCCCAGGCTAGTCCAAACCCCTCATCTCTGGAAACCTTCCCAGGCAACCCCAGACCTGCAAGGCTCTCTGCCCTCAGCTCCTATAAAACCTCTGGCACCCAACACTCGGAGTTTCCTCACTGACTTTTACCTTTAGATTGCACCTGCCCTTAACTAGACTATAAGCTTCTCTTCAACTTCTGTCACCCTCAGGTACTCCGCACAGTGACCTCACCGTTAATGAGGATAATGACAATTCCAGCTGAGAAACAGAGACTCCACAACTGCCCTCCAAGCAATTAAAGCAAAACCTAATGTCCATGAACCACAACTCATTAGTCCCATGAAACACAAATACACAAGACCCTGTAAGCTTGTCATGCACCACTGACGGCACCGAACTCCCTGAAGTCCTAGGAGAGAGCCTGGCTAAGGAAAGGTGTTGCCCAAGTCCGCAGCAAACACAACAGGTTGGATCATGCAGACACCGGGCCTCCTACCCCAGGCCACTAGGACAATGTCCCTGTGGGTTTCCAATCAGAACCACTCGGCCATGCTGGCAAATAGGAAAGCCAAAAAAAAAAAAAAAAA